AGGAATATAAAATTTTCACTATCAAAATCAAAAGTAGCAGGAACAACCTGGTTCAAAAGTACTACAGAGAATAGGAACTTTGTATCAACTATATCAAGAATGAGATTTGGACACACGTTGTCTAAAAACTATCTTTGGAGGATAGAAATACTACAAAATTTTATGTGCCAATATCTAGAAGAACCAGAAATATTAGACCATATCTTCTGAGAATTCAAAGGCAAAGACAAAAACAAAGGCAAACAATTAATTTATCATAAGCTGCAGGAAAAAGTACCTAATGTTTTTCCAGTAAATTTGCAAATCTAGCAACAATATTGATATATACAAAATTATCTATAACGTCATTTATAATAATGAGATAAACTTATAAACACATGGAATGTACATAAAATTATATAAATATGCAAAAGCTGACCAAATGATATGATGATCCATAGCCACATAAAATAAATAAAAAAAGCCTTGATGAAATGTAACAAAATGTTATAGCCCTGCTACAAGAAAAAACATTAAAGACCAAAGAACTCTTAAAACTCATATGTTTAATCACTTCTTTGCTTAGTTATAATAAATTTTATTTATCAGCAGTATCTCATGTTTATAAAGTTATTACTATACGGTTATCGTATATGGTATGATATAGATAACCTGATGCGTTTATCTGAAGCAATTATATTTTACGATTATATATATATATATATATATATATATATATATATATATGCTATTTATTTCAAACACTAAATTTCATCTATATTTTCTAATAAATTCGATCCTGTTTTCGGAGCATGTTTACCGAATGTGTCACAGCGAGCTGTCCGTTGGACTTTCAAACACAATGAAAATGATTTCATAACATATTCAAAATAATTATATATACACACATTTAAAATTCATACGAGAAACATATGTGCTCTTGATGGATTTATGCGTAAATAGAACATAGTTCAAAATTTATTACTCGTTCAGGAGTTAGTTGAATGGATAGACAAGGACTATAGATGATTGGTTGTGATGTACGTAAAAAAACATTTCAAAAATTTTTATTTTGCCAAACTCGATATATGACTAAATTTGGATGAATAATGAATAATATGGATTGTAAAATGTTTTTTTTTTAATAATGCTTGTTGAACAACAATTGGAACTTAGCAGTTCTGATAAACCTTTTCCCTAATAGCGTCGCTTTTTTAGAAGATAACCCAATGATTGTCCTAACTATATTTGATACATTATTTACATAATTATATTTCTAATATACTTCTGATAAATTTTTAATTAGGTGGAAAAATATCAGAGAATGTCTCATTTTTATTCCTATTTCTATTCCTAACTATATTCCTAATCCTATTCCTATTCCTAACTATATTTGATACATTAATCATATTGATATATTTTAAATACACTTTTAATATATTTTTAATTCGTTGCAAAAATGTCAGGAAATGTCGCTTTTCCCTTGTGGACATATTAAGCTCTATATTTTCAAGTAAAAACTGATATCATTGCCGCTTGATATCAGACTATCCAAGGTGTGGGTATTTGTATCCATAGTTTTTTTTTAAATATAAATTTCGAAAAAGAAAATATATTTTTGTTAAAGACGAACCCGTTCACTATACGAATACAGATCTATCTACACTTTTATGATTTTTAGTGATTTGTATTGTATTTTGCTTATATAATTATTAACATTGATATAGGTTAATCAATATGTCAAAATATAAATAATTAATTTTTTAAATAATATTTGTTATTTTATTTATTCATAAGCCGTGATCAATAATAGCAAATATTGCTTCAGATTTCTGTAAAATTCATTCATAATTCCAAATTATTTTATACTCTATCCAAAGATAAAATAAAATTTCAGGAAAGAAACAAATATAAAATTAAATTACAGAATTGTGTAATATAAGAAATGTGGGCCTAATACTTGAAGTAAATAATAATAATAATAATAATAAACTAAATATTATATTATTATACTGAATAATATTAAACTTAAAATCATCATCTTTTATTTTTGTTTTTCTAAAAATAATTTAGTTTTCTGATAGACAATTTGTTTGTATATTTACATACTTAAGCCGACCAAACACCTTCTGGAAGTTGATTTACCAAAGTTTGTGTTAAAAAGTTAATTGATTCCAATAAATTTTTGGTTGGTAGAAGAATTTTTCATATTTCTCTTTATTAATATAAAGCATGTATAAATCCTATGAATTTTAGCCTTAAAAAAATAATATCATCTGCAGAAATGTATTGACAATACTCCAATGCCAGAACTATTTTGCAAAATTTCGATCCAGTTTTTATGATTTCGAACATGCACCACGTTCTGGATTTGTAAAGTGAAATGAAAATGTTCCATTTATAAAATTTCATTTTTTTAACTAAAATTATATATTTAACTAATTATTTGATTATAATTCTATGTATTTTTTACTATTCAATTTGCTGGTAAATATGTTGAACTGATTTAAGAAAACATACGATGCTTTTCAAAAAACTTTTTTACATACAAACTTTCTGCGCAAAATTCTAAAACATGAATATTCATGTGGCTTAAATGTAAAGCAAAAGAGTACAATTAAATTCTCTATTAAAAGATAAAATAAAATTTCATAAAAGAAAGAAAAATTAAATTATATTTTAGTGTCGTGTGATATAAAAAATATGGTTTTAAATATAAATAAACAAGCATTTAAGGACTTTATTTATAATTTCTCTTTTTCTTGAGCGTTTTGTATATTTATATAAACAATTAGTGAACGAGTTCGTCTTTCCATTAAATATTTTTTGAAGAAAAAACATTCTAAAACATTTGCGAACATTTGCCATTGAAGAAGTCAGTTTTATTTTGATCACCAGAAAATATGTGTAATGTGACTCTACTTGATGAAAAAATGAACAAAATACAATGAATATAGTGATTGTCTTTTTTTTATTATTTAGCAAAAATCTGCATATTTATATAAGTATTCAAAAAACGAGTGTGTCTATCTAATATTTTAACGGAATGTTCTACTAATTACATGAGACTTGAAGACTCTATTAATTTTTATTCGAAAGAAGAAATTTATATTAGATTTATTCAGGTTGAAACAGACCAAAAAATGGACAAAATAATAATTTGTCTCAGCTTTTTGGTCATGTCATAGATTTCGTTTTCAAATTCTTTAAGCTTTATTTTAAATCTGCTCATTTATGTACAGCAATAAATCGACAACTGCGCATTGTCATCAAATATTTTCTGGAAAAACATTATAAATTCTTTAAAAATTTAAATTTAAGTCACTATTTCATTTTGCTTAGCAGATAATATTTGCAAAAAACCTCCACATAATGACACAGACCACAAAATCAACAAATCGATAAATATAGTAATATTTTCCATCCTTTTAGTTGCAATGTCACACATATTTTTCATTTCTTAACCATATATTAAATATTTGTCTATTTATATGAGCAATCAGTAGACGAGTTTCCATCAGATATATTTTTTGAAAAAAAATCTAAATGCATTTACCAACAAAATTATAGTATCTGTTTTTTATTTTGATCAGCAGATTATATCTGCAATGGACTTTCATATAATAAAACTAACCGGAAAAAATGAACAAAAAGATAAATCTAGCGGTCTTGTCCAAGGTTTTTAGGTTATGAAACCACAAATGTATCAAACAAGTTTGTGGTTTCAGATATTTTAGAAGAATGTGTTCAAAATTAGCACCTGACAGCTTTATCAAGAGTATTAGACAAAAAAATATGGATTATTTTTTGTACCATCGGTGACAAAATTTAATTCCAATAGATAAAAAATAGACAAGTCTAGTAGCATTTGCATTAAAAATGTTTTCCACATAACTTATTTAGACAAATTTTGGGATGACATTGAAATGTTATGTTACGGATTTGTAATTGTATGAGTTAGTGGTCACCAACTGTCAAAAAGCTATGTCAAATGTACTTCTTAAACATAACCTGTAAAAGGCACAAATAATAGTCTTATCATAAGTGCAACTTTCTGATGTCACCAATGATCAACATCACTTTGACGAAGTCTGACCAAAGGTTCTGACATTTGAGCCAATTGGAGGTTAGGTTTTATGTGCAAAACAGCAAAGACGCAGTTTTCAGACATTTGATGACTACCAACTCATACGACTATAGATCCGTAACATAACATTTCTATGGTATCCCAGAATTAGTCCTTAAATCTATTTATAAAAGTTCTAAAGGTATGTCAAATCTACTTCTAAAACTTAACCTCTAAAAGGCACAATTAATAATCTTAGCATAGGTGCACCTTTCTGATGTCACCAATGATCAACATCACATTGGTGAAGTCAGACCAAAGGTAAAATTCTGACGTTTGAGCTAATTGGAGGTTAGGGTTTATATGTAAAGTAGCAAAAGCACAGCTTTTAGACAGTAGGTGACTACCAACTCATACGCATACGATTATAGACCCGTAACATAACATTTCTATATTATCTAAGAATTAGTCTATCCAGATAATAATCTTATCATAATATCTTTTTGATGCCACCAATGATCAACATCACATTGGTGAAGTCTGACAAAAGGTAAATTTCTGACATTTGAGCCAATTGGAGGTTAGGTTTTATGTGCGAAACAGCGAATACACAGCTTTTCGACAGTTGGTGACTACCAACTCACACGATTATAGACCCGTAACATAGCATTTCTATATAATCCAAAAATTAGTCCCGAAATCTATTTATAAAAGTTCTAAAGCTATGTCAAACCTACATCTAAAACCTAACCTCCAAAAAGGCTCAATTAACGATCTTATCATAAGTGCAACTGTTTGATGTCGCCAATGATCATTATCACATTGGTCCAAATTTAACCCTTTCCACTCGCGAATTTCGAGATTAATATGAATTTTGGCGCCGGAGCGGCGGCATCCGACTGAAAGGGGTTTAAATTCTGACATTTGAGCCAATTGGAGGTTAGGTTTTATGTACGAAACATCTAAAACACAGTTTTTTTACAGTTGATATACGATTATAGACCCACACTTTATATTTGTATGTTATCTGAGAATTATTCCCAAAATCTATTTCTAAATTTCTAAATCCTTTCTAATTACCTGTCTGTCCTCGTCCTCTGGTCGCCCCCATGGGCTAGTAAAGGGGGCGGCGGGGGGCAGAGCTCCTGCCTCGGCTTGAGGACAGGCGTCAGCCCCCATTTCTCGATAAACTCTATGCGGGAAATGATTGAAGCTAACACCGCACTCCACTCTAGTGCGGGGTTCCTTCTAGCGGAGCACCCCGCTACGCTACTTCGAGGACCCCCTTGGCAGCATTATTCACTTTTCGGCCAATGACGTTCCGCATTTTCGGGGGGCTATTGGACTCCTGAATTTTTAATTTGGTTTTGAAGATCGATGGACAGTCATATCTTGGATGAGGATTGAAGATTGATTTGGTGTTTTGTGAAGATATTTTTGATTTTGTTGTTTTGATGTCTTTAGTAAATACCTAGTTTAGAGGGATTTTAGAGTTCTTCCTCATAATTTTTTAAATTGGAATTGGAAATGTGATCAAATACAGTAGATTTCCAAATTTTAAATAATAATAAAAAATAGCTGAAAATCAGTTTAATTTTTAGATTCTATAATCCCAGTTGTAATTTTGATATTTCTATTTCTTCCTATAATACTGATTCCACAAACTTTCTATGTTCCAGCAACATACTTTATAGTAATTTAGAATAGTTGTTTCTCAAGAAACGTAAAATTTTCTGATTCTCCAAAGGCAATTCATTCTCCATCAGTTTGCCAAATTGGTGTTCTATTATTCTTACTCTTTAACATCAAATTTTTAAAAATGTTTGGAAAAATCTTGTAGCTGAAGCAGGTTTCAATCTCTATCTACTATTTCCTGAGTACTATAAATTTCGGTGGATTTTACATAAATTTTTTGTCCACATTTACTATCCAACATTGTTTACCATCAATAGAATGGATTCGTTAGTTTATTATCAGCTACGATTCATAATATTTCTAATTTTTTATTAAATTGTATTAAGAATTTTTTGGTAATATAATTTTGTACGTATCTCTTCGCTTTTACAATTCGTAAGACATCAAAATTTTGTTTTGGTTAACACAATTTTGTTAAATAGCTAAAATTTACGGATGGAAGTATTCGTATCGGTTATAAAAAAATTACCATCTAACTTGAATTTTTGGAATGTTTCAACAAATCAACGTATAATTTTGAAATTGACTTTTGTTTACAGTTAATACTTTTTTTTTCTTAAATCAATACTTCTTCAGCATCCAAAGCGTCTACGTTACTCTACTTCAATTTGTCAATAAGCTCTAAGTGCAGGATTTTACATTAATTACAGTTTCTAAATCACTTTTTTCCGCCCAAAATAAATTTTTATAGGTACACATTTAACATTTATACACGATTTTCACGATTGTTGGTTTTAATTATTCACAACACTATAACGACACAAATTGGGACTCAAAATATCGAAATTTCACAGCATAATGGACACAAATTTTGTTCTAACACGACATCATAAACAGTTAGACACCAAAATTCAGTTTTTTGAAATCGTTCAACACAAAATTAACATATAACATTACTCAATTGAGAAAAACAATCGGTCAACTGTGCATTTTTGTTTCGGGAAAGTTTCGATATGTTACAAATATATTTTACGTGTTTTTGGATTGTTCAATGTACGTATTTGGGTTTTAATAACATTATTTAAATTTTGTATAAATTTTAGAAAAGAATTTGTGCAAAAATCATCACAACATATTAAAAAAATCCACTTCGAACAAAATGTTCCTTCCAACAGTGTTTTTTACTGTTTTTTCACGATGCTGAGGTCCCACTAAATATTACCTCGTCACATTTTCACTTGAATTTTTTAGTGTCATTCTTCTATTTAACTAAAAGTATCTTGTCCACTCGATTTTTCTAACTGTCCGTTATTGTTAATTCGTTAAATAAAAATTTTAGCGGCAAAACGACCGCAGCCAGCGGTCGTTTTATGAGCTTCATCGATCCACTGAAATTCTGTGAATGTGTTTGAATGTGTATAGGTATATTTTATATAGTTAGATGGCTGGCAGAAAGATTATTCACTACTTATCTAAACCGAAAATTTATTGTGTTGTGTAATACATCTATTTATAAGTAATAATTATAAATAGAAGCACAATAATGTAATTTGACATGATTGATATCACAATTTTAATTTGTGCAAAAAAAGTTTTTTTATAATGTATGCAGTTAAATTTGTCGATTAAATGGTAATTTAGTATTTAATAAATTTAATAAGAATTGTTATTGGATTAATTAGAATAAATTATTCAATAATCATAAAAACATTGAAATTGAATTGAATTTAAAATTCTATTCTAGTTTATAAATTATTGTAGAAATATTATAGTTAGTACAAGTTTAGTTTATTTAATACGATATTGCTGCATTTTTTTAAATTATTTATTTGTTATAAAATTTATTTTTGATTTTGCGTATTTTTTTGAGTGCATGTACCGTAGCTTTGAAAATTGTAAACGGCTATAATTATTACATTGTTGCATTTAATATTGTTTATTAAAATTTATTTAAGTGCCTTTTCTTAAGTAAAGATTGTTGCTCCTTCAAAATTTACTAGTATTTTTACAAATATTTTATTCATCTTAATACCTTGATGTCGACGCTACGTGCAAACAAATTTGTATTGTTCAAACAGTTTGATTATTAGAAAAAAATAAATCTTTAAATTTATCAAAAAGGTTATACCTTCCCTCTTTTTTGGCAAAAATTTCTAATTTGATATATAAATCGTTCAAGTTATTCAAGTTTATTCAACTTAAAATTTAATTTAATTTAATTTTTGGTAATTGTTTATCGAACCGTTAATTTATAATTTGTGAAAAGATACAAGATTAATATATCTGAGAAAAAAATGTTATATGTTTAGCGTTAGTTATCCAGAATGGTTGAATTTGATTTTTGTATGCTTAAAAGTTTAAACTTAGTACTCTTTGAAACCGTTACTAAACATCTATTATCAAATTCTTGCATTTCTAAGTATTGAAGAATAATAATGAATAATTTTGAATTTCTAAATTTTTGATTAAATGCAGTAGCAATATTAATACAGTTTTGAAGAAATAGATAAAAAAATTGGATTAAAAAAAAATGAAAATTTTTCTCTGATTGGGATTGTAATAATCTAATTGGAATTGTAATTTTCTAATTGGAATTCAGACTGGAATCTGATTGAAATTGTAATTTTCTGATTGGAATTGTAATTCTTTTATTGCAATTGTATTATTCCGATTGGAATTGTAGTGTGCTGATAAGAATTGGAGTACTCTTATTAAAATTGTAAATCTCCAATTGGATTCATTAATATTTTATTCGTTTATATTTTGTTCAAGTTGATGAATAGTTTATATTAACATTTTCCCGGACGTGAATGCTATAGCATTCATTATCATCGTGAAGCAGAATGACATAATTCCAATTCGAATTTTGAAGTCGATCATTTCAAATTTAATTCTTTATAAACTTACGTTTTTGTAATTATTACACCTGTCAAGTGTATTGATCAACTGATGACTAACTGATTTTTTAGGTATCTTTGTATTCTCTTATCTTTTCTCATAATTAGCTTGGGCTAGCACATTGCGCAAAGTAGAAGCAAAATACTTGACGTGGATGCTATAGCATCCGTGATGTAAAAAGATACAATCTGATAATCTGACTACTATTATAAACAGTGTTTAATCAAATTTTGAATATCACATCCAATTTAAAAATAAAAAGGTTATCAATTTTTGTACTTTGCTACAATATGCATTGGACGCAAACATGGTGATTGAAGTATTTGAATCATAGAATATATAAGCTTTTGTAAATTATAATAATAATGCAAGAATGAATTTAGTTATTGCACAAATGTCTACGGCAGTATATTGCACATTTGTGGAACATCAAATGACCATATTTTGGCAGTATTTGAAGAAATTGCAGTGAATTAGACATTTGTATGACCAGACTTCAGCTTTTAGGGATTCGAGCTGCAACTCGCGGACCAGGTTTTGCACAAAACTCCTGTTCCTAAGATTTTTGAAAAATACATCATTTTCCATTATCATTTATCTATTTTCTCCCTAGCTCTCTGTTAATTCCGAATATGTTTAAATGTATTGCGATACATCCAAGAATGAGCTCTACGACCACACGTAGACGGTCGTAGAGCCGAGAAGTGAGCATGCGTTGGAAACGGCTTCCGCAGGCGCATTGAGGACGCTTTTTGGTATTATATTTGAAATGCGGATTTTTCTAGCTCTGGAATTGATAAATTTTTTATTTGCCAGTAATAGATAAAAATTTTTGGAGAGGAATCGGGAATGTGGAAGCGGGTACCCGCAGGATCGTACGACCGGCGAGGTAAAAGGTCAGATGTTGCATTCGATTGTAAAAAATAATACAGATGACTTAATTCGAGTAATTATTATTATAATCGTCAAAAAATCGAAATTGAAAATTTTTGCATATCTACACGTTTTGAAGGTTTCTGAACATTTTGGCATACTTTACAGAAACTGGATATGTGTGTGTTTTGTGTGTCCACAATTTTTTGTCTACGTTTTTGGGTGCACGGATCAATCGATCTGAATGGTTCAAAAAACATTCGATTTCTTTTGATAGGGAGATGTGCTGGTTAGTTCTTAGTAAAGGCAAGTCCAGCCGTTTAGAATTTACTTAGCAAATGTTGCAGAAATTAACAATTTAATTTTTGAGAGTAGGGAGCGTCTGATTTGAATGATTCATAAGATATTTCAGTTATATAGACTTAGGAAAGTATTGATTAAATTGTTGAAAAGGCAAGTCCAACAATTTGCAAACGAAAATGTAAAAAAATGGCATTTGGCGGGCAAAAAAGATCATTAGACATATTCACATTAAATTATCAGATGTTAAAAATGAGTACTAATTTTGTTACATTTTTTTGGGTGCCGCAACAAGATTTTCAATTTTTAAAGTTCACTTATAAGGTTCAACCAAATTTTAAAATTTTCAGAAATTTGTTTTTTTTCAAACTTTTCAAAAACAAAATTTTATACATTAAATATAAATTCGAATTTGCAATTCCATTTCAAAATTTTATTTATTTCATACGTGTTATTTTAAAAAATATATCGTC